GAAAATCATACATATCATGGGAATATGAAAGGATACATGTAAGAATAAAATACTTAAATAATTTTAGGTGAAAAAACAGAACAAGATAAAAAAAAATTGTTCTCCCTCAGTACAGTATATAGTCAACATTTTATGTATCCATCATTGTATAATCATCATTTAATCTTTAGAAAATGTGGACCCATTGTACAAATATAATATATGTATTTACTTTTGCTACATTTCTTCGATTATATTTCGAAATTATTTTTTCGAAATAAAGAAAGCTATTTCTTGTAAATGTAGTGATTTTCAACGTACACATCCATGTATTGCATACTACTATATTACAAATCAATTCGATTCAATCAAAATATAATGATCCATAGAAGCGAACTAACGATCCGAGGCACAGCTATCAATAGTTATAATATTTCGGAGCAGTTAACGTCTTTATGGATATTTGCTAGCAAAGTAATTTTGTAAAATAATAGTTACCAATGAATCATTCTAAATATAAAGTGTTGGATCCACAACGTGAGTACTTACTACAATTTTATTTATATTAACAATACATAACGTTCGGTTTATAATACTCGATATTTATCGCATAAATAAAGTCAAGACTTAATCTCTTTTAATCAAAATTATTAACTGACAAACTATTTAACGATACCTCAAGATGTTACTAATTTGTAAACGATACATTACGACATTTGTTTTCAAATCAAGTCTTTTTACATTTAAATTGAAGTGTTACCTCAAGAATTAACTCTACACAGTAGAAAAAGTCTTGTAAACCATTTAGCTTTGAAAACCTGAATTTTTGTAAAAAATAATATTAATCTTTAGGCAGGCAGTGTAGGTAGTACATTCTCATATAAGCTACAAGGAACATCGAAGACATTTAAAGAACCAAATAAAAGAAAATTGCAGGAACAAACGAATGATTCAATGTCATCGATCGATTCAAAGAAGGAAAAGATAATTCAAGAAACAAGTGTTTGATAAAATACATAAATATATTGAATAAAATCATGTAATGTAATATTACAATTGTTTAAAAATATACTGGATGATTGTCAGCAATATATTAACTTCATTATCTATCTTGTAATAACAAAGAAAAAATCAGCTATTTTTTTAAAAACTATAATAAATTATACAACCTAGCTCGGAAAAATACATTGATGATATCGTTGATGTTACCAACTATTTCAAGCAGATGTAAAATTATTTCGTCATATTTAATAATCTTTTCAGGTTAATTCATTGTTTTGCGAACATATTAGCTTCTAATATATATTAATAATACTTAATCTCACGTAAAAGTAAATAGGAGTGCAAAGCGATCGCAATCTTTGCCGATCAAACAACCAAAAAGCGCAAGGAATACTCCCCCACCATAATAATATATACACCACATAAATATACGTGTATATGTATTTATAAGCATTAAAAACTATACAAGAAAACTGCACCAAAAATAACGATCGATACGCAATGACGGAGATTTAAGTTTTCCCCCATGCATATACATACGTACATGTATTTATGCCCCTAAACTCAAAATACAGTGGAACAGGAGAGAGGCTATCGCGAACAAAAACTACTTACCGACGCGGTAGCAGGTCAGTAAAGTGAAAAGCACACGCGCTCACCATCACCCCACTCCCGTACACTCGGCCATTTAGCGATTACAGTGGCCGTAAGGGACGACGATCTCGGGCCCATTCTGGCTTAACGACCTCCCCCGACTTCCCGGTCTTAATCTTCTTTATCGTGCCGTTAAGGCGCAACAGCAGCGCTGACGGAACTCCATGGCAATGTTCGCGCCGTGAAAAGGCTCCCGAGGAGGGCCGCTTCGGTTTACTTCGCGCTTGTAATCCCTCCGAGTTTGTCTGTTCCTCGCGTACTTGTCGCGCGTCCATTATCGCAGCAAGGACACCACGGAGGCAACTCGTAAGCACCGCATCACGGACGGAAGGTGCGCTAGAGCTTGATTCGATTACAGGAAAGCCGATGTACAACTCCCCTCCTTTGCTATTCGCCTCTCCGAAAAACTTGTGAGCTGTTGAGCATTGATTTTGATGTATCGTGTAGAGTCAAAATAAATCTACTGATGGGTTGTCGACGAACGCATATCGTATTTATGGCCTTTAGGTGCTCTTACCGAGTTTTCCAACTTATTTTGCAATGTCGTGGAACCTTGCTATCTGTGTGATAATACGCTCTTGACAATCAACGCAAAATATAACTTGTACGGTAAACGTGTGTATTGGGATTGATTTACCTACTCGACCTATCCAAACAGCACTGTATATACGTATGTATATGAATGATGGTATACATATACATATATACATGATGTAAGCCCATAGGTATCAAAATGGATAAACGTATATTTGAGTATGCCCAGAAGTCAAGAGGAGGAGGAGAGGAGCACTCGGGCATGCTCTTCTAAAGTCCACTCTGATCTCTTGCAACGCCACTGTGTGCTTCGTCTAATGGCCGTGAGGATTGAATTATGCCCGAGTCCATATTTTAGTTGCCACCTACCGAAAGCAAACACTTTCGATATTGCTAGTACCCATACCTCCTACACGCACATAAACGCTCGTTGACATACACTGTTAACAACATTTCGCTTCCATTAAATGATTCCAGTCTTGATAAAAAAACTTCCTTTCTCAATGAAATAAAAATCAAACAGTAAAACCAAATCGATTATATTTCTAATTATAAATATTTATTTTCTCATCTATTGTACTTATTTATAATTCAGTAAATCACTAATCATCAATCAACAATAATGAAATCTGCTTAATTCACTCAGAAGCTTTGTTTATTTTTCAAATATCCGCAATTACGCGAAATCAATACAACGCTTCAATCGAGTCGATTTTTCCCAGAGGATCACTTTTTTCCATCGTATACTTGGCTTGCCGGTATAGTTTTGTTCGAATGTCGGATTACCGAGCCAGTCTGTAGTAACCCAGGAGACTTAGTATGTTTATTTTGAATTTACTTTTGTAGCAAAAGAGAGAAGGAGCTTACGTTTGAATCGTTGAATTTAATACGGTATTTCGAGCTTATTTGGTTTTATTTTCCGGCTTGTCTGTTTCACTCGGAAGTTTTAAATTTAAGGAAATTGGGCGTTCTCTGAAAATATGTATAATTTTCTTTGCAATAGCAACAACAACAACAACAATAATAATAATAATGTAACAATTCAGAGGTAATTTTGAAAGATGAATAATTTTGAACGAAAAGTAAAATTTAAATCATTTTTCTGATTAAATCATCTTAAGCAATTAATGATGTAAAACTATGACTAATGATATTGTCTTCTGAAAAATTTTCAGAACAATAGTGCGGAAACAGTTAAAATTACCTGAGCAACTGAATAATATCAGCTTATAAAGAGTTTAAAACACTGCAATTTTTCTTTTTAATTACTTTCTGAGCGTGAACACATGTATTTAAAGTGAACATACTATTTGAATCTGGTACTCCTCTGTTATTCTTACCCAAACTGTATAAGTACGTTTTGAAGAAAAAATTGATAAAAAGTATACATTGTCACAAAGTACTTGAGCTACAATTAAGTATATCGAAATCTTTGTCATCATTATTTTAAAGGTGATGCACATTACAGTTACAGTACACCCAAAAGTCGTTCATTCGATATCGTGACCATGTATCGTAAAAGGTACAGGTCGATACAGGGAGAGAACGTAGGGAGGAAAGGTGCTTCCCTCCCTCGAAAAACCGCAAGCGCGCCAACCTCTCGCGCGAGAAACTTAGCCCAGCTGGAGGGCCCTACATGTATAGATCGGCTGATGTAAGCAAACCTATAGCTGGTCATATATACGCGGGAGGATGCGTTGCACATACGGTGGAAACTTCGCTTCGTCTCGCTGCTGCTTTCCACAATATCCTCGGGCCTGCGTGTATCTGTACAAGTATAGCCTCTCTCTCTCACATACACCATTTCTGGAAGGGGGTGGAGGTATAAGTGTATAGAGAGGGAATTTGCGCGCCCGCGGGCGCATTTGCTTAACCGCGTTAGCGGAACCTCAATCCAAATATCTCCTCGGGCTCGCTCGTATATGCGGGTGTAAGTACCTGTACGTCTATAGATACCATGTATACAAATATACAGCAGCAGCAGCAAGGAGTTCTCTCGCTCGGGTGTTACAAGCTATCTCGATGCTCCTTATGCCGATGGAGTGGTTGCACGGAATTACCCTTTCTCGGCCGTTCTCCTAATCTTTCTCGCACTTTCTTTCCAGCGCTCCAACTCATGAACAATATTGCTACCAAAGAAACTCATATCTCACCCAGAATCTCAATGATAACGGCTAATTAATGCATATTGCGTCTTTTTGATGCTTGATTTCCCTTTTTATTTTTTTATTTTTTATGTTTAATACAGATTGACATGCTTTTTTTTTCTCTGAAAAAAAGTATCTTATTGAATTGCATAAAGTAGGAGAGCACGTGTTTACACTTCATTTTATAATTATAAGAAAAACTTAAAGTATGATGTGGCCGTACATACAAGTAATATAATATGTGAAAAAATTTGAAGGTGATACCTTTATTTTTTTGCAACAGCGTTTACTGTACTTTGAAAAATTATATTTTTTTTATTTTTAGTAAACATTTTTACTAATTTTAATTTGTAGCCCTTTCAGATTTGAGCCACGGAAACGCCCCTTTGAAATTCACAGCGAAAAAGACAGAAGAACAAGATAAAACTTTTGACATCTTAAGTACATATTTTTAGAGTTTTATTTTGCATCGTTACAAAGGCAAGAAAGCAGCAGTAAACCTTTGTATAGAAAAAAAAATGTAAATTTTTTAAATATTATAGCCAACATCTTATAATATTTATTAGTTGTATAACTTAACTTTCGTTTTATACACATACATGAAACTACACTCAATGGGATAGAAAAATAAAATTTGCATTCAAATTATGACCAGTTGCGATATTTTGTGTTTTTGTGTTGCAGATGAGCGGAAAGCGTTCAAGGAGCTTCAAATGTGCGGTTCATCATCGAGACCGGGAAGTTTGCTCGGAAAACGACTTTCACCTCCTAATACATGAGCCACCTCTTTTTCAAAGGTAATAAAAATCCATACGTACAACAAATCACACATCGTACGAATAAAAAACAAAAAAATAATAATTATGGCAACCATCAGTTGAAAAATTCTCAGTTTCCCGCCTCACGCACAAAGAGCCACGGTATCGACATCAAAATCAATTTTAAATAAAAAAACTCACAGCAACAACCACGAGCCTTCCTCGTGCCGTCGCCTTAACTGCTCCCTCACCTAAGTACATACACGTGCAGAGGGAGGAAATGAAAAGCCTTTCCCGACCAAACCATATCTTTTTTCGAGAGCGAGCGCAAGAGAGGCTCGTACAAGTGCACAGTACAGCCCTAATCTGAAATAAAATCGTCGATGCTATCCGAGATATCTAGCGCGTAGCTACAGTCATACCCTTCCTCCCGATATAATCCTCCTTCCGAATGAGAGGTTCTGGATTACATTACTAATTTTGCCGCTCGAAAGAAGACTATCAGAGGGAAGGGAGGGATCTTTTATTTCCAACTTGTATTGTAGGTGCAGGGGAGGGCCGACGCTGTTGTGCGCCGTATCGGGTATAATTCAGTCGATGCTATAGAGGAGAGAGAGAGTTGGTTTTACCATTTTACGGAACGATAAGTGTCACCCTCTGATACTTACTGGCTTTCGATGCTACTGCTGATGCCACAGTATCTTTCTCGTATCTTCCATTGGTAGGTATGCATAATTATGTATATTTTACTGGTTAGCGTTAGTTGAAGGGAATTAAAATTTGCGCTTTTTGTTATATCTATTTAGGTCACAAAAAATATTATGTAATTTATTAAATCTCAAATCACTGTCTATGTCCCAAGCCGGTATAATTCAGACGGTTGAACGAATAATCTTCTGTCCCGAACGTATACTGTGGTTCAAGACAAAGTGTACCACGATTTTGACTAAATAAATCCTCAAACATGCTATATTCCATCGAATAACGACAAGACTCTTCTACGGCTAATTTTTTTATACATATATTAAGCTCATTTAAGTTGAAATAATACTTTTTAACTTTTGTTAGTACACGTCTAGTAAACGACCAATACAAATAATTTAAAAATAAATTTTTTTTTCTTTTTTTTAATTCTTTCCACAAAAATTCACACCAGCAGTGATGTGCATAAAAATCATCATGACGCGAGCGGTCGGTGCATCTCTACGTAGCCCATCACGAAAAGGAGAAAAAAGAAAAAGCACCACACGTGTATATACGTGTGCCCTTATACCCTCGGATTGTCTCCTTTACGAGGTGCCCCTTCTTTTTTTATTCACACCCACCACTCCCTATACTTTTCTCTCGACTCAACAGAGCACTCGCACGCGCTTCTGTTCCGAATCAAGTCCAAGTGCAAAAGAGTATGGACAGAAGGAGGCGAGGGGAGAGAGAACTCGTTCCGCTGACAGTGTCGTTGGATAGTTTACGAGGCGCTCGGTCCGGTGGTTATCGGGAGAACCGGACCATGGGAATGCAAAATCGAGATAATCGCCCTGCCATCGAGGGGAGACGTGTTCCCTTCTGTACGTATATGCTCGCCGCTGCTGAAGAATTCGATGTAATGCCGGAGAGTAAGCGATTAAATTATTATTCATACGAGAACGCGCACGTGTGTGTGCCTGTGTAGGTATGCGCGCCCGGCTTGTGTTAAGTGACTTGCAGGTTTTACTCCTGCTGATGCTGCCTGATGCTGTTTGGTATACGTGCTGATGGTTTATTTTCAGAAGGTTGCACAGTTTGGGTTCTCTTTTTTTTAGTACTCATTTTTCCGTGTAGTTTACACAGTTGACGTCGGACGATTTATGTACTCGCTCGTTTTTTTTTTTTTTTTTTTTTTAACTCTGAAGTTGTTTTTAATTTACAAAATTTAAATATTGAGATTTTTCATAGCTACGATACGAAAGTACTCTTCTCAAAAGACTCGTGTAAGGGGCTGGGCACCCTCCAAGTCATTGAATAATATACCGAATTATAAGTCATGTGTATACACATGGAGGCTCTAAAAGTATCTCAAGTTTATGAAAGACTTTGCAGGTCAACCGAAAGACTTCAAATACTGCAAAAGTCTGAAAAAGACGTTAGAAATTTTATCAATACTTCCTTCCAAGTCGCAGCTCGTAGGATTCATGGTTAATGTCTAGTTCACTAGTCTCGAAAAATTGAGCGTAGCTTTATAGTGATTGCGTGCTCTGAGAATGAAAAACTGCAGTTACTAATCAAGTATTTAGAAAAAACAACCTTATGATAAAAAATCACGTACATGTATTTTTTTAACCACAAACAGTGGAATTTTATATTAAAAATCGTGGTGTCCTCCATTGCGATTCTACATTACACAGAAGTCGGGGGACATGCAGCAGCACCAAAATACGCTGCATTATTCAAGACTGCCAAAGTACATCGTATTTTTGAAAAAACACTAGCTCCAGAAAAATTTTACATAAAGTTTTTACAATTCAGAGCTGCGTGGCTGCATTATTTATTAGACGTGAAAAATGTGTCCTTTTTCCCCCAAACGCGCGTGTACACACATTTCGTTGCACTTGTACACACACATACTCTTCGTTTGCCAAGACGATAGTAAAAAAAACCACCCCGACGTAAGCACACACAGAGAGAGAGAGAGAGAGAGAGAGAGAGAGAGAGAGAGAAACTAAAAGTGATTTTAAAACAATAAGCTCCACCATCGCCCTTCGCACGAGCTCACACCCCGACTACTTTAATGGGGAGGCAAAGAAAGAGAGAAAGCCAACCACCGCTTCATAAATAATTCATCCCAGCCGGAGATTCCTCCGACACCAGTCCTCTCGACTCCGGTCCTCTCTCGCTCGAGCTTTTTCAACCCCTGCACTCCCATACCCATCTCCGAGCTCGGGCTTTTTCCTCCCTTTGCCCGAGCCATCGTCGTTCCTCAAAATTCCTGAGCACACAAGATAAGAGAGAGAGAGAGAGGGATAGAGCCGCAGAGGAGTATAAGGCTGGTCGGCTTTGCAAATAAAATATCACTCTCGTCCTCTTACCCTTTATACGGGAGAGCTTGCGAGCCAACGGAAACCACTGCGATCATAATCATCGGCCATATACAGCCAAGGCGTACTCGGTGTAGGTGTGCATGGATGTGTCTTGTAACTCGTGCCATCGTCGAGCTCTTCTCTCCTGAGTGGAGGAATCGCGTGGTATTGAAAATCCTTCGTGCGTCCCCTTGTAAGCAGGGAATGATCGAAAATTCTTACTCGGGGTGGAATTTTTCGGATCCAGGTCAGGCGCTTCGAGATCCTCGGCACCCCCTGTCCGAATGACTTCGGGTCCAGGGCTTTTCTTATCTCTCTTTTGCCAAGGGAAAACATGGCAGCTTTCCCTCACTCTGTACTTTACTCAATTAAATAGCTAACGTTTTACGATTGGGACGTACATCGGGGCAACCTATATGATCGTGTCCTGTGACTTTACACGGGTATTTAAATTTGATAAAAAGAAAAAAAAAGTACCCACCTACCGTTTGCATTCATCGAGCTATTTTTCTATTGTTCATTTAATTTCATGGGCCACATCGAGACTCGTCGTGCCTACCGTCCAACCAACTATCTACCACATATCATACAGTCAAATCCAACGGCAGTGTCCCACGACTCTTCACACCTTGGAAGAGGTAACTTCTGCCCATACCTCTGTAGCATTATGTATACTCGCTGCGAAAGAGAGTGCAACGCCTCTTCTCTCGGCTGTACGTACCCATAAGTACTTAGTCCATAAAACCACGCTCGTTTCCTCCGCAGCGAAGTATAAATAATAAGATGCATCCCCAGCCCGAGAGATCTACCGCTCCCGCCGGCGCAGGTGCGTGGAGATGAGCATACTTTCATGTATATGTACCCTCATACGCGCGTGCAGGCGTCTCGTTAGTCACACTCCTCGAGCCGGCGGCGCTTTTTCCATATGCAGAGTGACTGCGGGACTGGGGCTTCGGTGCGGCTGTACTTGCTGCTTTAACTCTTTTTCGACATCTTTTTTTAGAATTGCCGAGATGACACGAAAATGGTGTCAACACTCGTATACGTGCACTGGATTTCTTACTTACGCAATAAATGTTGATGCTAATGGTTTTTTTTTATTTCAGGTCTAAACCACAATTTCCAACTCGGCTCCGCTAAGTGGATCCATGAACGGGTTTTTCTTCAGCCACTATAAATAAATTACAGTCGTTGGGGATTAACAATTCATTACAGGTCGTCGGATCCGGGGAAAACCGTTTCCACCCCTATTAGGTGCTTACACTTAAAATTCCCCTAATGCAGCATCGTATTAATAAGTCATGACAACAAAAAATAAATCGAAGGGAGCAAACGTACACTCTACGAATCGAGGACGAGACGTGGGCCGTTGCTCTAACGATAAATCAATATTAGCTAAAGTTCACTGCATCAAACCGAGGTATACACGGTACTGTACGTGTACTCACTGTTTACCTTCTCTCCTTTTCCGATCATCATTGAATAACGCCAGATTTTCGGCAAACACGAGCATTACACAGTTCGTCATTAGAGTAGATGGCCCTCGAGCCATTTTCGGATAAAAATCAGAGAAAGTTTCAACGCTTGCTGCACAAAAATGGTAAAATTAGTCGTTTCATTTTTTTTTATAGAAAATAATTACGAACTCAAGACTTCTTCGCTCGATGAGACAAGCGTGAAGCCATTATTGTTGGCTTTGACGAGCTCGCGGAGATACTGTCGCTTATACTTTTTATTGAGTACGGCAAACCAAAAAAATTCATTGAATATTATATTTATGTATGAAATATCGATAACAAGTTTAATGTTTAATTTGAAATGAATGTAGTTGAATTTATTACAGGTTATGAAAGGAAACATCAAAAGTACTTAGGTATCTGCAGGTTAAATACAACAATGTTATTTCCAGATATTTGAGTACGCTATGGTAATGCCAAATATCGTGTATCTTTCAATTGATCATGGCACTATTGTAAATAACAAAAA